ACATGAAAGTGCCTGCAAAGAAATGCCAACCAAAAACGAGACTAGAAGCTAGTCACCAGGTTCAACCACAAGGGAGTCCAACAAATTGGAAGACATGAAAAGTAAATCAAAGTAGAATACATGCAAAAAAAGGACAACTCTGTTATGAAAAAATTATTCAACTCACGAGGAAAAAGTCTTGAGATTCATAGAAAATTTGGAGAATTTGTTCACGCTTCTCCTCTAATGAAAGACCTCTTTTCTTCGACTGCAAGATAATTCAGTCATTAGAATAGGCATGTCAGTAAGTCATAATGAACGTAAAAGCGATCACACAAAATCTGCTAAGAAGTGTGCATACTATAATTTTCATTAAGCTAAAGTAATGGATGCAACAGAGAACAATGTCTCTCCTTTATCTACACTTTTTGGGATAGAAATATCAATATCAGCTTGTTCAAGCATAAAACAAGCAATGCATAGCTCAAACATACATCACAATTGATAGGTCCAGCTCAAAAATGAATAAAGAAAGAGAAATATAAACATATCAATATCAGCATGTTCAAACAAAGAACCAGCAATAGAAGTTTCAAAGAGATGTCTGAAATAGTGTTTTCAAATGCAGGATGCGGTCTCGATGCAATCAGGGTCCCCAAAAAACTGACTCAGGATGGATATGTCTAGTTAGCAGAGGATAAAAAAAAGATTAATGGCAAAAGGAGACATTTTATATCCGGTTGTTCAATATAGAACTAGCAATACAAAGTTCAAAGCGATGTTAGGATTGATATGTCCAGTTCAAAAGTAATAGAGGGAAAGCAAAAAGATCAGTGCCAAACATAGTTTCAACTCAGGTCCCAAAATAGCTCTAATACAAAGATGAGCAATGAAAAGAGCAAGACTTTATGACACAAAATCAGATTATTTGTGTCATAAAGGGAATGAAGTTCTTTGGAGTTACACTCCAATTCAAGTGAGTAATATGTCTTCAAAGAAGTGTTTCGGTTTCATATATGACATGCCATAATTTGGAGAAAAGATTTAAAGAAAAATTATTGTTCCCCATTGACTATATGAACTCCGAAATGAATAATGGCTCAGCTAACCATAGGAAACATGGAATATAGCACATCAACTAATCTTATAACATATATTTCTAACAAACCACCACCTATTTATCATGGCACATGTTCTCCTAGCAACATGTATCCCCTTCACAACTACATCATGGTCACTCTTGCGCTTTTTCCATTAGGTGCATTTGATACAAGTATCAATCAAGGAGAAACTAACCATCCTGCTCCTCTACGTAGTTCATTTCAAAAAGACTAACAGAACCTCCATTTTGGCACTCACTCTTCTGAAGCTGAATGTCTTTCAATTATGCCCTTTTATCAATCGATTTCAAAAAAAGAAAATGTCATGTTTCACTTGTTAAGACTCCTTCAAGAACCATGTTCCTTTTTCTAAGTATCTTCTCTTTGATGTCCCCTGAGTTCAAACTAGGAGAACCAGAAGCATTAAATATTATATGATTCCATACTGAAGGAATAAGTAAGAGGAAAAAGAATAGACATTACGGGGAACAAATCCCATCTGGTTGCAAAAGGCTATGATAAAGAATACAGGGTCAACAATAAAGAAACCCTGATTCCTATTGCATTACTTACAGTTATGCACACTATTCTCCCCGTTTTTACCCTAAGTGATATTCATAATACCCAAATAGAAGTCTATGGTAGTAAGCAGGGTCAATGAGCCCAGTTTCAAATAACTGGCGGTATTTATATGGTGTGTATTTCCTTTACATAAATTCCATATAATTTTACTGATTTGCAATAAATATAGGCAATCGGCTATTGTTGCAGTAGATGTAGATGCATCGCTCGATTAGCTACTGGTGATTCAAACATTTTATTTCTAAAGCATCATCTAGAGTAATTTTTTTCACCTGAAAGATCTAGCCATCTACGGACTCACAACTCTTTCTGCAAATTTTGGCAGATCTCATAGGTAGTTGCCATGTTTTCAGTTCTGAAGAAGTTGAAACCCTATGACTGAAGAAATAGAAATGGAGACAAAATTATATTACAGTCCATGGGATGAATTCATTTTGTAGCTGGAAAATCCCCAACTTCAACTTAATTGCGCACACATAAATTACGTATGCCACAATACAATAGCTAAGGGTTTCATCTATAAAAGATGGAAATATTTCTTATACTAAAGGTATGGTAGAACATCAAACTAGTTGCAAAATTGAACAAAAATAAGAACTAAACAATCATGTAATCTACAATGAAACAATCCTTGAAGTTAGAACAAAAAATGAGAGCTGGAGAAATCTTGAAATTAACAGAAACAGAAAATGTACTCATAGAGTCAATATTAGGCAGGAGAGAGAGAGAGAGAGAACCATTTTGTTGCAGAAGAGAGAACCTGAAAATCGAGGACGAGAGTGGGTTTCAGTATGTTATGGCGGGAGTTTGAAGAAGGAAAATGACTATAATGGCCCGAGGACGAGAGTGGGTTTCAGTATGTTATGGCGGGTAAATGACTATAAGGACTTTCACAGAAAATTAGAGTTCTCGAAACCAAAACTCCCTAACTTCAACCCAAATGACGTCCTCACCTTTTGCTTTCCTTTATTTAAGGAAAATTACAAAAAAAAAAAACAAACTCGAGACCACAATTTCTATGCAACAAAATTAAAAAAAAACTATACTTTCTAGGCGACTTAACCCCTTCTTTTTTTTTTCAAAAAACTACACTTTCTATACAACTTATCCCCAACTTATTTTTTTTCTCTTTTTTTTTTTTTCTCGAAACAAATTTTCTATGCCAATACCCACAAGGAAAAAAATTTCATTTTTTAGATAGAAATACCGTTCTTGTACACAAAAATCATTTTGGCCAGATTTAATATTGACTTTTGGACCCAGAAGCACATTGCCAGAGTGAACATGTGCCGGACCACCCTAAGACAATTATCGAATTGAAACTGAGTATGGTTGCACTTTACATAGTATCGAACACCTGAAATCTAGTAACATCTATTGCGAGATGGCATTTATGCTGCAGAAGCGCACTTTAACAAATTGTCAAAGCCCTACTGCCAAACCGCAATACCGGAGCCCTACTGTCGAACTGCACTTTAATGCCAAAACCCTACTGCTGGAACGTATTTTACATAGTGTCGAAAGCCCTATTGCCATACCGTATTTTCACAGTGCCCCTATTTTGGTGGGATAAAGGAGAGAAAGGCATGGATAAAATAAAAGTAAGGGAGGGTAGTTTAGTTATTTTTTTATTTTTATTTGGGTTGGGGGTATTTGCATAGAAACATATTTTAGGGGAAAAAGTGAGAAAAAAAGTTAAGTTAGAGGTAAGTTGCATACATAGTATGGGCTTGGGGTTTTTTTATGACTTTGCTTTCCATTTATTCCATTCGACCTTGAAAAGGAAAAGTATACGATCTAAGTAAAACGGACCTTCAAATAGTGTCGAGAAATGTGGCTTCAATACTTGAAAGAAAAAGTTTATATACAGTTACAACCTTAAAATGTAGAATTAAAGATGTACCTCAAAAATCCATCAAAAAAATTGTTTTAATATTGAAAAACCCTCTAATTGATCATCTTGACATTGAGATGTATTAATATAAAAAATAAAGATTTTGAGTCTAAAAAATATGCATCTTGCAATACATTATCTAGACCGTCAATTTTCAAGATTTTCATATGTTTATATATATACTTGATTTTAATCATTTTTAGAGTTTAAAATTTTATAAATTATATATGAAAATAGATTTTAAGACAATCCTAAGAAATTTTTATACCAAAATTACATGTTATAATAAAATTTGGAAGTGCGCCTTAATTGGATTGTTTAAAATTGTAACATTACAGAAGCCACACCCTATATTGATTGGGTACAAGACTCGAAATAAAATTTTTTAAACTATGTGATATACCCAAGCAGTTGGATTTTATATTTGATGACTAAAAGTGATTGTGACCATCTTGTACTAAAAATAAATGGTTTTGTAGTATACAATCTCAAATAAAAAATTACCAAGGTGTTAAAAAAGTTTCATATCCCGTTTATCATTTTATTTTTAAAAGTAACGACTACTTCTTAAGACTCTAAATCCGATGCGATCCACGGCATCCCACGAAGCTAAAAACCACATCCTGAAATTGGAATATGCAGCTTCCATGGGAGACCATGAAAGCTGCAAGTTCCTCTTCCTTGGAAGACGTGGTCAAGGTATTGGTGAAGCTTTCATTCTTTTGAAACAAGTCCGGTGCTTTGTTCCGAAAAGGTCATGTACACGTTTGCATGCTTATCCTACTCCATCGTTTCTTTGATGAGCTAGTGTAAAATGCTCTATCGGAGCATATTGTACAACTACTCCCTGAAGTAGAAGATTTATTTGGGAGAATTTTTTTGATAAAAAGTTTTGGGAACCAAGAATCACTACATGATTATTTAAAAAATAAATAAAAAGTTTTGAATTTTCTAATACTTGAATCTCACCCTCTAAAAATTAGACAATCTCTATCGAATATTGAGATATTATTTTCCCAAGTATGTAGAATGCAATGTGGATTTTAAAAAAAAGAAAAAATTCTGAAGTTACTCTATGGGTTAAAAAAATTACATCCCTAAAATTTAGGATTCTAAAATTATTCCTAAATTAGGTTTTACCCGATGTAGGACCTAATGCAGTTATGCATTCCCTCCACATCACTGTTGATCTACTTTTCCCCTCGTATCTATAAATTTAGAGCTTCGAAAATCATGCAAATTTGATGATCATGATCTTTAAAGGGTTAATATGAACGGTCCAAAAAATTAGAATAGATGATTTTTAAAGCTCAAAATTCTGTTTCTTTTTTGCCTTTCATATTCAAGTGTGTGGTATTGTTGATGATATGCACGCAAATTTTTGGATCCAAAATCTGTCTAGTATTTGTATGTTTGGTATACATGGAAATATTTTATGAGAAGTATTTTTATGTGAAAAAACTCTTTCATGTGATCAGATGTGAGCATTTTTTAACACCAATTGATTTCAATTTATTTTTCACACCAATTGATAGCCAGTCGATGTGAAAATAATCCCATACCTAATCATGTGAGAAAGTTTGTTCATGTAAAAATACTTCACAAAAATATTTTCACATGTACCAAACACGTTAAGAATTAAAAAGGGTAGATGGAGGATTTATTCAGGCATTAACTTCCTTGCCACCCAATTGCGTGTACGGAACGTAGATTGTACATATTTTCATCAGTCCCACATATTTCATGATATTTTCACGGAGGAAAGTTAGAGAAAGCAACTGAACTGCATTTTAATGAAATTCAAGGAAATACCCACCCATTTATTTGGAAAGAATATATCTCTTCCCTTTTGTGATATGGGAAAGCTTATGCTGCACATCAAATAGCTTGGGGCTTGCTCTCTTCTTGATAGGCTGCCAACATACCGGGTCAGCCTTGGCCCGAGCCCAGCATGAATCTTTTAGTTGGGTCAGGTACGAAGATGAGTCATTACTATGGCCCCTGCCAGGCCTCCAAAGTAAACTACTTTTTGTAGCCCCTTCCCGGCTTGAATTTTATCCTTGAGACTCAGACCAACTCGAAAATTGGATGCGCTTGGAGATTAGGGCATTTTTTTTTGGTGATAATTGTACAAATTTTCAGGCTCGAGTATCGTTTTTTTGGTGATAATTGTACAAATTTTTAAGCTCGAGTATCATTAGACGTGGCCCGAAGAGTGTTCTAACATAGTAAAACCAATCTATTATACACCTAATCTTATCATAAATAAGATATGGACTTTTTAGACTTTTTATAAAATAACAACTACACTGGGCCTATTTGACAGCCCTCCTCTCTCTAACACGTCTCTCTCTAACATGACTAGCAGGCATAAAAATCAAGCATGCATTTAAAGCTCTCTCTCTCTCTCTCTCTCTGCTATGCCCACTCTTTCTTGCTTTTGCCCTGCCTAAAAGAATTTGGTTCACTCTATTTTATCCTCGTACAAGACGTGAATCGGTGCAGCATTCCCAATTCACTTTGCTAAGAATAAATGTTGCTGAAACATGGGTTCTTTGCCCCTCTCGTCATGTGTTCATTGTGTTCTGCCCTGGTGTTTGGCACTCATGAGGGTATGTTTATCATCGTACCTTAATAATTTGGTGCTTATTTTCTACATAATGATAGTATTTCTTCTTTCTTTTTTTTTCGTGCATCATATTTTAGGTATTATTGTGAGATCATTAGAGGTTGGCCTATGGTTAAAGAAAATGTTGCTAGATTGTAGAAGAATATGTTAGAAATAACATAACTTTTACTTAAATTTTCAATTTTTCAGTTACTTTGTCATATTTGATCATTTAGTTAAAAAGCTTTTACTTTTTGAGAAGAATATGTTAGAAATAATAGAACTTTTACTTAAATTTTCAATTTTCAGTTACTTTGTCATAGTTGATCATTTAGTTAAAAAGCTTTTACTTTTTAAGCTTATTTATGCTGAAATTTTTGTTTAAGATACCTTTTCTTCAGTATTAGATTCAATTGTTAATATATCATTAAATTGATTTGATTAAGTGTTTTGAAACTTGCCTCTGGCCAGGTACTCAGCTCAGGCTCAGTGTGAGTTACTCACGTCCACTCGGACACACCCCGAGTAATTTAAAAGAATTCCAAAGAAAGGAAACAAAAAATAGGGTATGCCCCAATCTTCACTAATAAATATCCAAATTATATAGAAGGGTGTGTCTGCATAAGGTTGCAACTTTAAACAATCAAAGTAGGTGCATCACCAAATTTTATTATAAGATATAATTTTGGTGTCAAAAATTCTTAGGATGACCTAAAAATCTATTTTCATCTCTAATTATAAAACTTTAAACAACCTATTGTTTTAGTTATACAGTGAAGCAAATAAAAAACATGTAGTTTGATTAATTTTAAAATAAATGAAATTGAAACAAAACCATGTCTTTAACCTTAGCAAATTTGAAATAAATGAAATTGAAACAAAACCTGATCTTTAACCTTAGCAAATTTTTTAAACCAGTGACAGTTCTGGCAGTACTTGTTATAATGGGTCGCTCTCCTAAAGAGGAATTAGGGCAACATTCCTTTGTTCCCCTTATATTAGATTATATAATTTTTTCTGTTATTTTCCTTTTTCTTTCTTAGAGTTGTTAACAGTATCAGATGGGCTCCTCAAATCCAAGAGGCAAAGAGAATTCAAATGCCTAACTGCATAAATGGTGATGTTTTGCAGGATTCATAAGCATAGACTGTGGAAGCTCAGAGCATCATCACGAAGATGCCCTTACAAAGATCCACTATACTTACGATGCCGAATACATCGATACCGGAATAAGTGCAACCATAAATAACCTATACAACATATCTTCACTATCAAGGCAATTCTGGTCTACTCGATCATTTCCAAAGGGAAAGAGGAACTGTTACAATCTTTACCCAGTGGTCGACAACCATAGATATCTGATTCGAGCATCGTTCATGTACGGGAACTACGATGGATTGAATGAATTGCCTGAGTTTGAGCTTTACTTGGGTGTAAACCATTGGGAAACAGTGAAGGTGACGAATGCTTCCGAAGAAATTTGGACGGAGATTATCAGCCTAGCGACTGCGGATTCTATAGCAGTATGTCTAGTGAATACCGGGTTCAGTACTCCATTCATTTCTGTTTTGGAGCTGCGATCGGTGGATCATGAAATGTACACCTCTGTCACTAAGTCGACCTCCTTGACGACCTTTGGTAGGTGGGATATGGGGGCATCCGGCGGAGCCACTCAAATAAGGTTGGTAAATTCTGGTCGTCTTTGTAAAAAAAAATAAAAAAATAAAAAAAAAGAGAAAAAAAGGTTTTTATAGGAATTTTATCAACTATTAATATTTTACTCATCATCACCATCATCATCATCAAAACCTTTTTCCAACTAAAATGTGAATAATTAAGTTAAAAAAAATATGTAAAATGTTAAATATTTATCTCTTAAGTGCATTTTGATAATTTTCCTTCTCTTTTTAAAGAAAGTTCTTATTTGTTCTGAAGGTTGGTCTCTTTAGCTTAGTAGGTTAGAATATAAATTTGGTTAGCCCTAAGAAACAAGTAAAAAAAAATTAAGGTTCATTCCCAGTCGTTTTATGCTTTTTTATGTAAATCGCAATTTGAACCGAAATTGACACCCATATATACGACTGGCAAGGGGCGGAGCCCGAGGGCAGGCCAACCTTGGCCTACCTGACCCTAGCCTAGCCAAGCTTTGACCAGACCGAAGAGGGTCTAGCCCTAACCCGGCACTAGCCTTGAGGGCCTAGCCCTAACCCGGCCTAAACCTAACCCGGCACTAGCCCTTGGGCCATAAGATGTGGCCCGGACCTTGTGGCCAACTCAGCCGGGCCGGGTTGCCATGTCTGTTTCCATCCCTACTCATAGATCGTATTTACACGACTAAAAGACAAGGATTCCCTATTTACCTTACGGGATATCAATTTAAATCTTTATGAACACTAAAACAAACAAATTTGATAAAAAAAGCAATTCTCAAAAATAAATAAAAATAATCAAAAGATGTCATGCTTTCTCGGGAGAAAATTGTCCATACTCCCTAGGATAAAACCCAATCTAGGAGTATTATTAGGACGGTAAATTTTGGGAATATAAGCTTCTCAACACATATGCCAAACTCAATAAAAATATTTCTAAATTACATTTCCTATGGGATTGAAAAAAATAATGCTTCACGATTGAATATAAACCATCTAAATTTTGAAGCATGAGATCTAAGCGTCATAAATATCAAAATTCATCTTTTTTTCATTTGAATATAATCATCTAGTGATTTTGAGGTGATTCGCAAAATTTCGAATAAAAAAATAATCTTCCCAAGTAAGACTTATGCGAGAGAGAGAGAGTAAATTGCTCCAGTGGGAGCATTATATATGCGCTGAAAAAGAAATTTGACTAAAAGGCAGTGGCATTTTATTTACATGGCTATTAAATTTGAGATTTTTTCAAATCAACAAAAAGGAACTGATATGGGAGGAAAAATCACATTTTAATTTTGAAATAAAAAGTAGTATCCTCCATTTATTTTGTACGCTTAAGCTCCACATTTTCAATGCACACATTGTATTTTATTTTTATTTTTATTTATTTTTGCTATTCATTAGATTAATATGAATTTTGGAGTGTCCGTACTCTCAAAACATACCAGTAAAAAGTACCAAATAGAACTGAAACAAATAAAATATCCAAAACCCTAAACACCTGAAGGGTTATTTTAGTCATTTTGTTTCAATGAATTATTTTATATTCTTTTACAAGTGAGGGATGGTGAGAAGTATGTATGGCCAAAATTTGAGCTTAATCTTATGATTAAGAAAAAAAAAAAAAAAAAATTGAAATGCAATACCTTTGATAAAAAAGTGGAACATAAAATATAAAAAGGAAAGCTTTCTATATTCCCCCTACCATCCAGCCGTCCATTTTTATCAAGAGAGCCCCTCACTGTTTGATCTTAGATCCGACGTCCTAAAGTATTTTATTTTTAGTTTTTTTTAATACAATTTTTTTTGAATATGAAATTTGGTATGTGCCATCTTCTCATTGGGGCGCACCTATAAAAAATAATGACCAAAATACCCCTTAAAAGTTTCAGGGGTATTTTGGTCATTTTATGTTATTGAAAATATTTTTTATGTATTTTTAGTTAGTAATCGAGTTTAATATAGGAACGGACGTAAGAAATTTGGTGTCAAAACAGTTTATAGAAAAAAAATTAAAAATAAAACAGTGTAGAGACGTGACATTGTAATTGGGACAATCTGAGCGCTCCATTAAAAAATGGACGATTGGATAAGGGGAACATAGACCTTCTATGCTGTAGGGGAACATAGAAAGCTTTCCCAATATAAAATACATAGAAATGTTTCTTGATATTAGGATGGGATTTTCCCATAGATTTCCCAATGCTATTTTGAGAGAATTATGTGAAGCTTTTAACCATTTGCCCATTCTTCTTCTATGATTCATTACTTGTCAAGAATTCATTTAGGCCTTCTTTTAACCATTTTTCAGTATTTCTTTCTGTGATTAATGGCCTTTCAAGAATGTCACATGCAGGTATGACCAAGACCCCTATGATCGCATTTGGAAATCAATGAATCTCCAGTCTCAAGGCTTTCTAATCACTTCCTTTGTGATCCAATGTGTGGCTTCTAATGGCTTCAACCCACCATCCATAGTCATGCAAACTGCCTCCCAGCCCTCTCATTCATCAAACAACTTGGAATTTTATTGGCCAATAGACAACTGTGAAAGCAAATCTTCCTTCCATTTTGCCTTCCATTTTGCAGAGCTGAAAGTTCTTAATGAAACAGAGACCAGAGAACTTAACATCTTCATCAATGATGGACAAAGATGGAATCCAAGGCCTATAATTCCTCCATTTTTGAGAGCTCTAACTGTGTCCACAAAAGAAGCTTGGACACTGAGCGACGGTCTTCGGGTTTCCATCAACAAGACAGACATGTCCACCCTTCCTCCGATTCTCAACGCATTTGAGATTTACAGGCTTAAGGACCTCTCCTTGTTCACAACCGACAATCAAGATGGTGATCTCTCTCTATCTCTTGCCCGTATAGATGTTTGTGTGGATGTTTTATCATTTTCTTTCGAGTCATGCATTGTACGTTTATAGAACGTTTGGTTCGCGTGAAAATATTTTCACATGAAAAAATTCTTTCATGTGGTCAAGTATGAGAGTATTTTTACATCAATTAGTTGTCAATTGTTGTGAAAAGATGCACTAAGACTAATTGGTATGAAATATTCCCACACTTGACTGCATGAAAAAAATTTGTCACATAAAAATATTTTTTAGTAGACATTTTCATGCGAACCAAGGATTCCACATAATTGGGTATTCATACTCCCCATCCACCGTGAATACACATTATGGACAGTAGGTGCCATCTGCTGCTCCTCTTATGGACTTCAAAGTGAGGAAACAGTTCGTCTCCACCATCCGTTGGTTGACATGGATGGAGGATAGCAAGTCTAGGCACTCATAAACATCGATACAAAAACGGGTGACCTAAGCATTGAGTCACATAAGTTGCTTAGAACCAATAGGAAAACCTGAAAAATAGGGTACGTCTTTCAAGGCCTGGTTCTCCTTTGAATTTTATTTGGGGCACATTTGGTATACGTGAAAATTTGTAAAAGTATTTTTAGATGAAAGTACTCCCTTACCATGACTAAGTGTAGGATTTTTCTGTTAATTGGTGTGAAAAATCCTACATTTGATCATATGAGGGACTTTTTTGGTGTAAAAATACTTTCACAAAAATATGTTCATGCATACCAAACATGCCCTAGAAACTCAACTGAGTAAGTTTGGCTAACTTGTGCTCCAAGCCCTAATGAGTTCTAGCCCGAACTGGATTCCTTGTTCTCAAATGCTGCTCATAAGCCTACTTATCTATCTCGCAATGCTCACACTTGTTTTACAATAGAAAAATAATGGTGTGGGTGAAACAGGGGTCATAAAATCAGATGATGGAGGCCTACATGTGTATACCCACATAGCAAATATTTGACATCTCCATTTACAATTTTTTAGTAAATAGTCCTCCATTAATTATGCAGTGGAGTACTCAACCTAAACATCTATTGGTTATGTTTTTATAAGAACGGTTGGTGATGAGTTGTTGCCCGTGTTATATTTTTTTAGGGGACCGGAAACTATACTTCATACAAATATAGCATTTGCATATTCATACCCAAAGTCCATCTTCCTTGAAGAACAAAATGGTAAACAATTCGTTATAAAAACTGAATGGTTATAAAAGTAGACAACACTCCTCATCCATTATCGCTTGATAAACATGAACCGGATGACGAATCGTAATATCAAACCATATGCATCTACGAGTAGAATACATCTTCCCAAATTTTCATGCCAAATCTCCGCTCTACCTGATAAGAGAGTGGCAGGTACTACAATGTGAAGTCTTTGTCATTCTAAAAGAGAGAAAAAAAATAAAATAAAAAATGAGCTCCACCGGCCATGGAATGGGCTGTTGATATTGGGTAAGAGTTTTTGAGCAATATAATCCTATAATGTATGGTACTGTTCCTGCTCCCTATTTTTTTAAAGGAAACCATGCTCTGCATTAGGTAATCTCCACCGCCCGTATTCAAGATGGACTATGGTAGTCAACGTCTCTCCAGCCAAGACCTGAATTATTCTGTGCTTCTATATTGCAACCCCCTTTACCTGTACCGTCTATCTCTGACACGAACGGTGATTATGATCTAATGCAGTTGTGTATGAACTGAGTTCAATTTTCCCGCGTAGCAAGAGAGCCGTTGGTCATGGCGAAAGAAAAATAAATCTCTCTCTAAAAAAACCATGCCTCCGTCTCTCTCTATGCTTTCTTTCTCTAGAGGGATAGAAAGTGAGATCTGAGACGGAAAATAATAATTAGATTCTGGATTAGTTGCGGATACAGAAAGTTGATTTTTCATTTTACAGTTGAAGCTTTCATGGCTATGAAGAGGGTTTATGGAATTAAAGGTTGGAATGGCGATCCCTGCCTTCCTAGAAATTACAGTTGGGATGCCCTAAACTGCAGCGATTCGCCAACTCCAAAAATCATTTCTTTGTAAGTCTCCATTTTCAATAAAACTAAAAGTAGCGTTTAGGTTCCAAATTTCTGAAATTGCAGTAAATACCCTAATCAGTGAATTTTATGGAGGTTAGATTCCCAAATTTAGGCAACTTTTGTTTGAAGTTATAATGCTGTATTTTGGTCCAAAATTTGAAGGGGACTGAATTTCTGGATTGGAATTTGGCCGATTTTTACTGTATTTTGGTTTGCAATCAGTGAAATAGTTGAATTTATCCACTTAATAGACTAAACTGCTCTTCCTTGAATTTTTTCTGCGATCCAATTTCATGTGGATTTTGTTACAAAATTCTAATCTTGTTTGTTTTAATCACATGTTTATTTTATAGGAATTTAGGGGGGAGTGGATTGAGTGGTAGAATATCAGCAGCACTAGAGGGCCTCAAAGAAATTCAATCTTTGTAAGTACTAACACAAACCCACATGTATTCTCTGAGGTTTAATTTTTATTTTCTCAATCAATGATATAGTTTTTTGAAATTCACTTAATTATATATTTTTCGAGAAATAAATAGTGACAATTGGTTGCCTCAACATGTTAACTTCGTTTCTTAATACCTCAAGGAACTTTTAAGTTACACCATTTCTCCCATTTATTGCTGTTGCTTTTGTTGTTGCTGTCCTTGTGGTTGTTATCATGTTGTTAATAATTACTTTAATGATAACAATACTGCTAATGCAATAATGATAAGCGGGTTCCACCATATTTTTGAATCCTAATAACTTATCAAATCGATAAAGACCAATATAGAATGTGACTGAAAGAGATGTTATTCATCTATCAAAAATTTAAAAATAAAATTGGAATGACAAAAATGTAAAGCTGGTCTGTCGTTGCCTCTTAATGAAGATAATGTTGCTTTGTTAGGATCCTCCTTTCTACTATGAGCTTGGTCATATTAATGTTGAAGTCGATTTTCTATTGGGAACTAGAGCACTCGTGCCTTGTAACAATCTTTGCTTTTAAATGCCATTTGCATTCATCTCCCAGCTGGCTCCTACTGCAGATCCTTGAGCCTCTTCTACAAGGCCACAATACTTTAGGTATGAGGTGTTTGGTAATGAAGGAATCATTATATTATTCAACATTCACTTGCTTGCTTGCTCGGTGCAGGTGTCTTTCCCTTTGCACTTGTTCTATCTCTTCATAAAGGGAGAAGGCTTTGAATTTTCTTTCTTTTGTTAACAGTAGTTGAAGACTGCCATCATTTAGAGAGATTTCAAGGGAGTTTTTACATTAAAAAGAAAAACTCAAGGGAAATTTTGGCATTTTAATTTTGCTTTATGTGGGTGGGTCTGTGTTAGGTTGAACTCCTTAGTTCAAGTTTCAACTTTTTTAAAAAAAAATTAGTTATTATGCAAACTTGGGAGTTCGGTATGCTTAGTTTTGGACTTTTGGGTAGTGCACTGGAGTAGGGTTGTCAATTATTTGTTTTATCCATTAGTTGCTTATGATGTTCATCGAAAATGTCTCGCTTTCGATTTCCGAGTTAATCACGTCAATGTTATATCTGTAGTTTTAGAATTTCACTTTAAAATTCATGTTTTGGTTGAAATGCACATGGGTATTTTAAATTTAGGCCAGATATTTTGGGAACCTTATGATAAAGTCTTGGACTTCATTGGTAGTCATATCCACTTTTTGTTAGTTGTTCTACATTTCATCATTTGAAATCCTCTCTTCATTAATGGAATATAAAATTTAAATTTGCTGGAAATTCTATGTCTCCTCACATTTCCTTTGCCAAATTAATTGGTTTGACAATTATGTCCAACTTTGCTTATGGGTAACAAGTCCATCCTTTGTGTGGTTCCGCATTAGTTGGATTCTCATAATTCTCCTCTGGCTGCCTCTACCCTCTATGAAGAATGTATTTAGTTTCTTTGTGAAGTCCGTCTTTAGCTGAAAAGTTACACGTTTTTTTTTCCCATAAGTTCCCATCCAATTGAAGTACTTGTATGTTCTATTTTTTGGTTTGCTGGTTTATTGATTGATATCATGAGGATGAACACCTCACCTGCTAAAATCTGCATATTCTTATTGCACCTGTTTCCATATAGAACATAATTAAGTTACAATCAACACAAACATTAGGGAAATTTACCTTTAAAAAAATATATATATTTTGCTTCAATTTTCTATTGAGACATATGTAGCTTCTCACAACTTTGCATTATTTGCCTCTCTTGATTCAGGAATTTATCCAACAACAGTCTCACAGGTACCATACCTGATGTTTTGTCCCATCTCCCAAAACTGGTGATACTGTAAGTATGAATGCTATATCTCTAGCTATCTTGTCATTGAAAGAACACAATGAGGTTTTTTTATGCTTGTCCATTACCGTTTGCAGAGATTTAAGAGACAACAACCTTAGTGGGTCAGTCCCAAGGGCCTTATTGGATAAAAATAATAGTCAGTCACTTGCTATAAGGTTTAGTATGATTTTTTATGACGTAAGTTTTCCACTGTACTTCGATGTTTATGCTATTAACTGTTTGTTTGACTTTGCGAACTTGTTTTGTGCAGAATTGATGGGAATCCCAGTCTTTGTTCGACCCCCTCTTGTGGTCAGAGTAGAGATAGTGTACAAATGGGACGTAATAATCATAGCCAGTGCCCCCAAGCTGTTATAATAGTATCTATTGTTGGGGGAATAGTGATTATCTCTGCCTTCTTTATGTTGCTATTATGGAAGATAAGGAACCTTCAAGGTAATTTCATGTACTCGTCAAAGATTTTGAAATGATATTTTAAAATAGAATACAGAATATTTAAAGACTAACTGAACTGGAGCTCTCTACATAGAAGTAATAATGTTTTCCTGTGTAGTTCAAGTTCATGGCATATATTTATCTCTGCTTTGCCTCTATCTCCTGAAATTTGTGAAAAAAACAACCAAGATACTTAACCTTATCACAATTGACCAATTCCCTTTCTAAATAGAGATTGTTAATCATGAATTTTTTATGCCTCCAGTCCTTCTTTGCCACTTTGTTTTTCTAAACCGTATTTTTTCCATATTCCTTCCCAGTTTCCATGTGATGTACAATTGGCAACTTTTATGTTGTGTTCATTCTATAATTGAATCTACACTTTAAGATATCAGATATTGTGTTCATCCTTTCTAAATTCACACTGTTGCTCATAAATTTTTGTGCATCCAATCCTTTCTTTGCCACATTATTTTTCTAAGCTAGGTCTTCTTTCCATATTTTCTTGTGATTGTACCTTTCCATATTCTTTCCCAGTTTTCGTGTGATGTACAATTGGCAACTTGTATGTTTTGTTCATCCTATAATTGAATCTACATTTCGAGATATCAGAATTTCTAGAATAAAACTCACCTCCATAAGCCAACTGCTTGCGGGATTCAACAATCAGGGCACTTGATCAGGTTTCCAAATACTTGTAATGGAGCTTTTCAAGTATTGGAATTCAGGATTTGAAAGTTCCTTGTTAATTACTTTTGAATATGAACACATGCTTAGGAATTGGTCTCGGACTTGATTGGTTAAGGTATTGATGGTTGCAACACCAAATCCCGAGTATAAATCCTCCCCCTGAAGCACCATACAAAAAGAAAAGGAAGTCTTCTGAAAAATCAAGCTTATTTATTAACAGTTATGAAAATGCATAAATTTTAGATGTCTTGATTAAACTGGTTGAAATACAATAGAAACTAGGATATCAAATTCTTGATAATATTAGGTAAAAATTCAAGAAATATAATCTTATCATAATTATGAGGGCTTAGCCACATAGGCCTTTCTTAATCTCCTTCATTCGAAGCAGTGAAGATGAGCAAAGGAAAGCTGCAATCTCCATCTGAAATGAATGGCTCCAGAGCATTTGCATACTCAGAGGTTGTAAGCATTACCAATAACTTCAAGAATGTAATTGGTAGAGGAGGTTATGGGATCCCTAAATGATGGTCGTCATGTTGCTGTAAAGGTGTTGTCTTCTGCATCTCGGCAAGGATTTAAGGAATTCTCAGCGGAGGTTAGTTACTGAAAACAAAGCTAAATGTAATTTCAATTCTTTCTTGGGTGTTTTGACTTTGAAATAAATCAAAATTTGGAATATGTTCTGCAGGTTAAACTGTTGATGCGAGTTCATCACAAGAACTTAGCAGCTTTTATAGGATTCTGTGAGGAGGGAAATAATATGATTCTTATATATGAGTATATGGCAAAAGGAAATTTACAAGGGATTCTGTTAGGTGTGTATCAAGTTTTTACGAATATAAACATGGTATTAACTTTGCTTAAAATTAGGTGTCTTGTTTACTACTATGCTTGTATCAATAATCGATACTCATATCCTAATGTCGGCATCAGTGCATAATGATCACAGTAGAGATGTCTTGACTCGTATTGGAAGCCATATGAAAAGACATATATTAAAATTCATATGTAGTTAGAGTCTTAAATGATTTCAAGTTAAATTAGGGTTTCATAGGGCTATAAAAGGTTGGATGCCATACTTTTGAGAGGCATATATTATGAGAATGAATTTTTTTATTATGAAAGAACAAGGTTCTTCTTCTCTTGGTTTGATTTACAGCCATGTTCTTTCTCCATTATTGCTGATTTTACTTGTTTATGGTTCAGAAAAAAGGGTGAATTTAACTTCCAACCTTTCCTTCCTGCATCAATATACTTATGCTTCTTTGGTGCTGTAGGAGGTTTCTTAAAATAAATAATTATTTAGGCCATTATAAAAGCACAATACTGCAAACAAATTCCCTACAAAGGCATGAAAACAACTCATATAAGCATACTGTATCTTACAGATGATCATAGCTCAAGAGTCTTCAATTGGGAGCAGCGTCTTCAAATAGCACTGTGTGCTGCACAAGGTGTACATGGAAAAGTGATGCGAATTCTTAAGTTTTCTATCAATGTCATCAAATTGAAATCTTGGTTTTATCTTAGGATTGGAGTATCTACACTACGGTTGCAAACCACCCATCATTCACAGGGATGTGAAGACATCAAACATCCTCTTAAATGAAAGACTTGAAGCCAAATTGGCAGATTTTGGTTTATCCAAGGCCTGGGCAAATGACGGAGATACGCATATATCAACTGTAGTTGTTGGAACACCAGGATATGTTGACCCTGAGTAAGTCATGTTCTCCTTATTTATATATGTCTTCCTGTTCTCTTGACTGACCAAGCCAATGCACTTCAAAGTTAAAGGCTTAGTCCCTTAATTGTAAGGGTACTAGAATCTTCATTTTATGTCCCCCAGATTGAGAGAGAGGAGGGGAGACACTACAAACTTTGCTCATGTCCTTTTACCTTTTGTTATCTAGTCCAGCATAATCTTGTAGACTGCCGCAATATCTGCATGTACAAAGTTGATTCTCTAGTTAAGCCTGATATTTTAAAATGTTTAAATATCTGCAGATACTACATTACCAACAAGTTGAATGAGAAGAGTGATGTTTATAGCTTTGGAATAGTCCTTTTAGAGCTCATAACGGGACTGCCGGCTATAATTGTGAATGAACAAAGAATTCATATCATACAGTGGGTAACTCCCAATCTTGTGAAAGGGAGCATTGCGAGCATTGTTGATCCAAGGATGCAAGGGCAGTATGACACTAGTTCCATGTGGAAAGTTGCAGAGATAGCAATGGCATGTACGCCACATACTGGCATAAAGAGGCCTACAATGAGTGATGTTGTGCATGAATTGAAGGGATCGCTTGAGCTAGAAGTTGCCCGTCTTAAAAGGATTTCAGGAAAGAAATCAAGGTCACAGTCGAGGAATTCAAGTAATCTAATTCAATCTAATTCACAATCGGTTTTCTATCCTTTACCAAGGTAGGAAGAAGGCTAATTGTGAGGTAAGTAATGGCAGTCACTTACCATGTTCCCATTGTGTGTGTATGAGACAGAGAGAGAGTATGCATCTTTTTCTTGGGTGTCCCATGTGAGATGTTTAATTATTGTCAGGGGAGCCCATTCATTTATTTGATTTTGCAATGTCATAAATCTTTTAAAAGTGTAAGAACATACAACAGGATCTTTGCATGGTTTGTATTGACCAGCATAGGAAAAATCGGGCTGTCAAATCGGAGCTGCCTTTCAGCCGGTTTTGGTGAACCGGCAGGGGGTATGTTAAGAAAATTAGAAACAAAATATATAAAATCACAAAAATAAAATATTTTGTTTGAAACGTAGTTTTTAATATTTTTCATCATTTTGGCAAAGATTGGAAATTGTTTTGGTCATTAATACTTATTTTTACATTTTTTCCATCTTTTTTTAAAAAATTCAAAAATATCCCTGGGCACTGATTTGTTTAACCATGTTTTAAATATATTTTTCATATTTTTTTTTTGTATTTATTTTGTTTTTTTAACTTTTTTTTGACCGCCTGGGACTTGCCCGGTTAGGCCAATTGAACTAACCGATTTCCTAGTTAGTATTGAGTAACCGCTTCCGGCCCTATACCCCGTTGACCGTTTCGGTTCAATTTTTCCTACACCTATGGATTCATGCAATGTTTCTCACTAAATGTAAAACGTTCTGCATGTTTGTACGAGACTTTGTTTCTTTTTGTAGAGGTGCTTTTGTGAAGTAAGATCATGGCCCTCCAAAGTCCTAAAAAACATTATTGGACGTACACATGCTTGTCTTTTCATCACAATTGTTTATTCAAAAATTTAGGTTGGTGGTGGCGAGGTAATAATGAAAGTGGTGCTAATGTAAGTTACTGAGTAATTAAAGGAGAAAATGAATAGAAGGGGTTTTATTCACACACGCCAATCCAACCCCAAAAAAATATTAGAAATTTCAGCCTCTTAGCTTTTAGGGGACAATAATAATGGGTAAATATCGTCTTTCACCGCTAAAAATCAGGGTTAAAAGAAAAAGAACAATTGCTTCATGCAGGCTAGATCACATTTTTACAATATGCGATCCAGAGATATATATAACATCCATCTTAAAGATGGATGCAAATAGACGGTCCATCTAAGAACAATTCTAACTAACGGTCTAAATTCTTTTAATATAATTATTATTTTTAGTTTTCAAAATATGTTTATTTTTTCATATTCATGATCTCCATGTTAAAGATTATATATTCTCTAAAAATTAAGATCAAATTATATTTAAAAAGTATATTTATTGCTAAGCCCGGATTTCTACATGTACAGGCTTGGCCGCATGGTAACCGCATCCAAAGAAAAAACTCATTTTTTTTCCTTTCAAGTGACACTCCCTTTGCTCTAAACTTTCGGGCTTCTCCCTCTTGTTCCACTTTCTCATTATTTTCTCGCCAAAAGTCCCACTGTAATTGCGCTTCTTCCTCCTCTCTGTCTCCCTTTGTTTTGGATGTTAACTTGGGACCTGGTGAGAGTAGAACTCCGAACATCATGTTGCGATATCCGTCACCCCGACCACCTCTGCCTAGAGCCCATGCTCTCCTCTCCCCTTTATTCTCCATCACACACACATTCTCTCTCTCTCTGGAACACTCCCATTCTCTCTAAAACTTATAACATTCCTTTCCTGCATTTGGTCAGAAATCAAATTCCCATCTTCCACAATCCCTCACTGCATATAACTAACTAAAGTATTGCCTGCAAAGACATTCAATTACTTCACAACATGAGCATGTAAAATTCTTTGCGATCACTCTAGGTGTGGACCCAACTGAATTTGTCAACAAAGGTGTATGCATTTGCATGAAGAAAGAGCAATAAGCTCAATAAAAGCCAGAAAACAAGCACCGAATACACGAAAATTAACGTGGTTCACCCATATGGGTTACATTCACGGGAGTGAGAGAATCAAGTCCACTATGTAAAATGAAGGTTATAAGACTTGATGATAAAAAACTATTTGGGTTTTATTGTCGTGGGATCACATTGAATACTTACTCAATTAGGAAACAAAAGGAAAAAAGAAAAAACTATTTAGGTGGGAGGATCCACTTTAAAATCACTGTGTGAATAATAAACTTTTATTTTGAGTTACTAACTACATAGATGTGGAAAAAGAAAATCAGATTTTGAATCTTAAAATAGACTATGCCGAAGGAAGTAAAATGAACTATCTAAAAAAGTCCAAAAATAAAATTTAAAAATAAAATTTTTATAATTAAAATTTATTTTAAAATTCATGATTGTTGTGATCAAGATTATTGATGTGTTAAGTTCATATCCAAAGTCCATCTTTAACACGGATTTTGAAAGGAGATTGCACTTGAATAAAATGAAGATGTTGACAAACCAAAACTCCATCCCTCTATATATGATTTGGATTGTGATTGGTTCAAATGTACAGAAACTCGCGTGCGCATGAGCGCGCACACACATATATATATTGTATTATTTTTGAAATTTTCTGAATTTTTAAGAAATAAATCATTATTTCCATATTCCATTTTATGTACTTTTCTCCACTAGACTTATATACACTTAAACAGTTGAACTTTTTAATATTTTATCATAGATATGCTTTGATAAATTTCAAAACCCACGTGTACCTATTTCAAATTTGGTCAAATGAGCGATGCAATTTGGAATTAGAAGATGGGGGTCATCATCATGTTGAATAGGTCAATTCTTACATGCAGTTTGATAAGTTTCCCTGCATTAAACTGATTAAAAAACCTTAGAAAATGGTTTATGTGGCCTTTACTTGCCTCTTAAATTACAAGGGTCTAGGAATGCAATTTCGAATTAGATAAACAAGATAATGCTATTTCGAATAGTTCTAATCTTATGTGCAGTATGATAAGTTTCCCTAGATTAAATTGATTATGGAACCTCATGATATGATTTTTTATTTCCCTCCCAAATTACAAGTGACAAGTGATGATATTTGAAATTAGATAAAAAACATGGTGCGATGTTAAATAGTTCAAATCTTATGTGCAATTTGATAAGTTTCCCTGGATTAAACTGATTATGAATCCTCAAGAAAATTGATTTACATGGTCTTATATTTCCCTATCAAAATGCGAGTGACCAGGGGTGCAACGGGTTGGGTTGGGTCGGTTCGGGTCGGGTTCGGGTCTGCCCGGACCTAGATCCTAAAAAATGATATGAGACCTGGACCTGGACCAAAAAATATAGTGTGGAACCTGAACCTGGACCCGATCGGACCTGACTCAAAAATTAAAATATCTATGTATTTAATTATATTTAATATATTGGGATTCAAAAAGTATCACCCGGACCCATACTCGAATAGTGTTAGGGGTCCAAGATTTGGACCCGAACTTGACTCGTGGAGTCCAATATTTGGACCGATACCCAGACCACGGATCGGGTCTACCCCAAGAGTCCTGGGTCGGGTCCGGGTCCATTACCACCCCTACGAGTGACTGGTGATGCTATTTATAATTAGATAAAAGGAAAAAGTTATATAAGGTTGCAATTTAAAATGTAGAATTAAAGATGCACCTAAAATATCCATCATAAAATATTGTTTTAATATTGAAAAACCTCATATTGATCATCTCAACATCGAGATGTATGAATATGGGAAAAGAAAGATTTTGAGTCTCATAAATAGTGCATCTTGCAACACATTATCTAAACCATCAATTTTTAAGATTTACATATGCTTATAGATCGATTTTAACCATTTTTAGAGTTTAAAATTTTATAATTTGATATGAAAATAGATTTTCAGATAATCCTATAATTTTTTTACACTAAAATTACATGTTATGATAAAATTTGGAGGTCCGCCTTAATTGGATTGTTTAAAGTTGAAACCTAATAGAAACCACACCATATGAAAAATTTTATATGAAGTTGCAACCTTAAAATGTAGAAGTAAAGATGCACTTAAAAAACCCATCAGAAAAGATTATTTTAATATTAAAAAACTTTCTAATTGATCATTGTCATCATCTCGACATCACGATATATAAATATGAAAAAAAAAAAGATTTTGAATCCCATAAACAATGCATCTTGTAACATACTATCTAGACCGTCCATTCTCAAAATTTTCATATATTTATAGATCTACTTGATTTTAACCTTTTTTTGAAATTTAAAATTTTATAGTTAGATATGAAAATAATTTTTAAGATAATCTTAATAATTCTTTAAACCAAAATTATATGATTATGATAAAAGTTGGAGGTGCCCCTGGATTGTTTAATTTTTTTTTCAGATGAAGAAACTAAAAAGGACGTTACCCGTGTCAGGTCCGAGCGAGAGCAGGACAGGATCCTCAGGGTCCGAGGTGGCTCAGCGAATGAGTTCGGCGCTTTTTAAATCCCTAGTTCATAATCAATCCTACGCGCAATTTCATAACTTCCCTTAGATTAATAGACTGATTATGGGACGAAATGATTTACATGGACTTTATTTTTCTCCCAAAGTAAAGGTGACTAAAATCTGTCCACCCTGAAGGGTTCTTTCCAGGGTTTCTAGGCACAACAAGATATGTTCCTGGTGCTTGTTTTAATATTCTCACCTTCGTTTTTGAATTTTGAAATCCAAGTTTTGCGACTAAAATGCACCGCCAAACTTCCATGACAAAATTGCCATAAAGTTCGCCTCGATTTCGACTAAAATTTCATCAGATTCAGGGTGATTTTGGTTGAATATGAATCGAATTCTTTTCATTTAGGAACAAATTTGGTCGGGGAGTTGTAATCAAAGCTGGGTTTTTTTCTAATTTTTTTTTGCGAAATTTAGGGATTTTCAATTGTTTATTTGGAGCCGTTTTGTCAGAAATTTGGTGAAATTCTTATGTATTCATGGTGTTGTGTGGATCTATTATCTGTTGCCTGAATTTTTATTCAGTTGTCTTTGATAGTTTGTGGTTTTGGTACCTCTCTTCCTCACTTGATGTACTGCTTTGTAGGTTTAGGGCTCTAAGACACTGTTTGGACGGTTGTTCATGGTACGTTTCTTTTCTATTAATTGTTGTTCCTATTTGTATTTCTTTTTTAAATGTTTCTTTCATATTTGTATTTTTTTTTTTTTCGTTTTATATAACTGTAGTATATCTTCTTTGTAAAGATATGTTCAGTCATGCAGATTGGATGTAATGAAGGCAAGGTGTGCACTTTCTTTGTTAAGCTGTTTTTTTTTCTCCATTAAAGAAAGTCTTATCAAACAAAGAGGGGAAGGTGCCTGATCTATGGTGGCCTGAATTCCTAGTACCCCGACTCGAAGATAAATTACATCCATGTTAGCTAGACTGTCTACCATTAAGCTTGTCAATAATGCATTAGGATCAAGGTCTACAGAATGGATCATCTAAGGATACATCAAGAGCATTTGTTGCCGGAGTTATTGGTAAATTGCTGATGATTGGAAGATTTAACTTGTACACAATCTAAGCATAACTGATGGTGCCTTGAGAATTTAGAGTGAAACTCTCCATCTGGGGTATGATATCTGGAAAACATGTCAAATAATGTATTAGGATCAAGGTCTACAGAATGGATCATCTAAGGATACATCAAGAGCATTTGTTGCCGGAGTTATTGGTAAATTGCTGATGATTGGAAGATTTAACTTGTACACAATCTAAGCATAACTGATGGTGCCTTGAGAATTTAGAGTGAAACTCTCCATCTGGGGTATGATATCTGGAAAACATGTCAAATATGTCCATTTAACTGTCATAAAATATGATATTTTCCTCTCAGTAAAGCTGGTAAACCCTTATCAGCAATCATGAGACCATTTCTTTTGGCTCTATTGATACAATAAAATTATCATAATTTATCTCGTTTCCTTTCATGACATATGACTCTCACACCGGCCATATCCTACTAATTATGCTATGTGCTTCAAAGAAGGAGAAATCACAAACTTTCTCAGCACACTATGAATATTGGATTTATCTTAACTATTTTTCAACACTATGAATAATGGACCTAGTACAACACCTGTTAGGATCTGTGAGTTGGTTCAATTGGAAGGCTAAAAAAGGGATAGGGTTAGGCCCAAAAGGACATGGTTGGAAGTAGTGAGAATAGATGTGAGGACTTATAGTTTCACTAAGGGTATGACCCTTGATAGGCAGAATGACGGACTAAGATTCGTGTAGCCGACACCAAATAATTGGAAAAAGACTCTGCTGATGACGAATCAAGTTAATTTGTTTTTATGCTTTAATCCAAGTATTCTCCTATTAAGGAGGCCTAGATGCATAACATTTTTAATTGAATTGTTTATGATTCCAAATCCTTATTGGAATGCTCCTCACTTATCACTTCATTCCCCATATTAATTGACTGTAGCTTTTCAATTTTTGAAGGTTTGTGCTTGTACAAATCTTATTCATAGCTGTTTCTTTTTCTTTCCCATTGCTTACCCATGGTTGTTATTGACTGTACGGCCTCTCTTGGCTTTTTCTGACACTGCTTACTGCACTTGACAAAGACACCAACGCAATGGTACAAGTGCTGGTGTCTAGCACATGTATAATACTTTGGGCCAAAAAAGTCACTACGGCCCTGACATGTCCAAACAAGTATTTGTATGAAATTTAACATGCAAATTATATAAAAATTCAAAAGTTTCGTAATAATAAATCTATGAAAAAGTTTTATAATAATAAACCATAAAAATATAAAAAATATAAGATCTAAAAGAAAAATATTTCATTATTGAAAGATTAACAAATATTATTTTCATTTATAGATGATTGCCTTTTATAATGGCCCTTAACCATTAAATTCCCAAAATATATGTAGTAATTATCATTTGCCCTTAGTGGTAAATTGCACGCTTTAAAATTAAGAGCTTGTGGGTTCAAATCCAACAACAACAATTAAGTTATGAGATTGTAAATTATGAGACCATTTATTTTTGATACAAGGAGGTCACCATCATTTTTGGTAATTGGATGTGAAATCAAATAGATGAATGTGTATCACAACATTCGAGAAATTTTATTTTGGACTTTATGTCCAAACAATGACACATTCTCAAGTACCCAATTTTAAATCTAACGGTCAATTATAATTGTAACCTCCTTGTACAAAAGTAAATGGTCTCTTTATGTACATTTCCTTAAGTTATTACACCATGATACACATTGTCTGTTAGGTCCGCACTATGTATCAGATGTGTCGATATGGCTGTCAAAGGACAGATGAATCCGGTACATATCGATAAGGTGGTGGACTGTTAGGTGCACACTGCATGGCAGATGTGTCAACATGGCTATCAATTGATAGATGATTCTGATAAATATGGATAAGGTGGTGGACCCATGTCTAAGTGTTGGAACACGACACAAAGCAAACACTGAAGTGGTCTTAGACTCCAATATGGGTGGGAGAAAGCGAGTGGTATGTATGCATGTGTGTGTGTGTGTGTGTGTGAGAGAGAGAGAGAGAGAGAGAGAGAGAGAGAGAGAGAGTACGTCTCTCTCTCTCTACGTTAGTAGTCGTACTTACTTACGTTAACGTTAACGTTAAGTAGGAGTAGTACTACGTACGTACGTCGTCGACTACTATACGTAACGTAAA